ATAATATCGAGACCCTCCTTTTGTGGCAATAGGAGAAGGTCTCTATACATCAAAATAAATGAAATCAAATGGTGAAGAAGAAACATAAATACTTCAATTAAAAGATAAAGCGAAAAATTTTGCCAGTTTACATCCACTATAATCAGAAATACCACAAGTTTTCAAATTTTCTAAAGCTCCTGTGGATGTCAAAAATCTCACACGAGAAGACGAAACATGACCTAGATGAGAATGCCATATATAAAAACTAGAAGATGAAAGACTCAAATGAAAGGAAGACAAATCAACAGTAGTAGTAGCAGCGGCGACAGCAGCAACTAACACTTTTAACTCATCCAAAATATATAGTCCATTCTCCCTACGGCCTGTCCCAATCAGCTTCTAAGACTGCAGATCCTGTACACAACAAAAAGAACCAGAAAACATGACTAAATAACCATCAAAATCACATATTTGACCAACAGACGCAAGATTCAATTTGAGTTTTGGAATAAGATAAACATTAGGAAGAGACAAGTGAAGTATGACAATAGAACCAACACCTGCTAAGGGCATAGAAGTGTTATTAGCAGTCATAACAGGAATAGAGGACAAAGGGGACACAGAGGTAAAAGATGAAGAATCTAGAGACATATGATGGAAAACATCAAAATCCAAGACCCATTCAGAGTGTGACATACCTGAGAAACTCTGAGGCAACTGACCTATGGAAGAAGAAGCAGACATTACTTGTGGCTGCAAGGAAAAAAACTTCTGAAATTGTTTAGCCAAAGTATTAGGATCGGTAATAGTGCTTGGGGAAGCTACTACTGTGGTATTATGGTGTGGTGGTTTATAACTCTAAGGTGGTCTATGAGCATTAGATTGTGACTGGTTGCCTGATTTTTAAGTCTGATTCTGATGTCTCAACTTAAGACACTGAGTCTTCCAATGACCTTTCTGCTTGCAGAAACTACACTCATCGAAGTCCAACTCTTGTGTAAGACTTGTTCTGATGATTAGAAAATGACTTAGAAGGTATTGCTAATACCAAAGGATTTGAAGCAAAAAGAATTCTCTTTTCAGAATAAGACTGAATATGTATTTCTTCAGCCAATAACTCATTGACAATAGAGTCAACAGAAGGCAATGGAAAACAATGTAGAATTGAACCTCTAAGTCATTCAAAATCACTGCGAAGTGCTGTTAAAAACTGTACCAATCGTTGCTGCTCTCTACGCTCAATAGAGGCACCACATGCCTTTAATTTTACCGATTCTGTAAGAGCCAATTGATCTCAAAGATCTGTCATAGCAAAATAAAACTCTTGAATACTCATATTCTTCTGATGAAGAGCTCGTATG